TCCCTTCCTCTCCCCACAACAGGCACCTTGTGAGGCAGGTGGGCCTGAGAGAAGATTGTAAGCCGCTCTGGGACTCCGAGTGAAGGGCGGGGTAGGAACCCAACTCTTCTTCCGCTCCCTAGGCCTTGGTCAGCCATCAGCACCGGCCACCTACCGTGTCCAGCCCAAGAGAGTGGGCTTCCAGCACACTCTGCTCCCGGCCACAATCCTCACCGTCCTCCAGATAACGCCATCGCTGCCGACCCTCTTCGTTACTCAGCCGCCAGCGGGTGAGGTCCGTAGCAGGCTCTGTTTTATAGGGACCGCCTCTTCTCCTCCTCCGCAGACATCTAACAGTGCGACACGGAAAACCACTCCATTTCAGAGACGAACACCTAGTATATTTCAGACTACAAGTCACTGAGCAGTAGGAAATGTATGCTTCATGATCCAAAAGGACAGGTTTAAATACAGCTGTACTGTTAATACTATGGAGGAAAATGAGCTGTCCCTTCCCACAAGCCCTTGATGGTCCCCTGCAGTTGTAGTAGTTTGTACTGTTAATACTATGGAGGAAAATGAACTGTCCCTTCCCACAAGCCCTTGAGGGTTCCCTGCCTGTAAGATGTAACGTGCGGCTGTAGTAGGTACAGGGAGACCTGGGTTCAAATTCCCACTTTGCTAGGAAGCACACTGGGTGACTCACTCTCTCTCTCTCTCTCTCTCTCTCTCTCTCTCTCTCTCTCTCTCTCTCTCTGACCTCCCTCACACTGTCCCTTCCCACAAGCCCTTGATGGTCCCCTGCAGTTGTAGTAGTTACAGGGAGACCTGGGTTCAAATTCCCACTTTGCTAGGAAGCACACTGTGTGACCTCACAGTTACTCTCTCTCTCTCTCTCTCAGTCTGACCTACCTCACAGGAGTGTACTGAGGATAAAGTGGGGACTGAATATCTAGGTTCACTGCCCTGTGCTCCTGAGAGGAAAAGTGGGGTAATAATATAATAGGTTGAATAGATATTTGCAGTATAGAGTCTTAAAGAGAAGTTACAGCTGGGAGCTGCTGCTTATTTCAAGTTTCCATCTGTAGAGGGGGAAAGTCTGGAGATAGGAGGAAGACACACACACACACACAGAGAGAGAGAGAGAGAGAGAGAGAGAGAGAGAGAGAGAGAGAGAGAGAGAGAGAGAGAGAGAGAGAGAGAGAGAGAGAGAGAGAACAGGGTTATTGTTTCTTTGTTGTGGCTTTCGTTGTCTCTAGAGAATGTATATCTTTCTTGAATGAAATGCAGTGTAAACAGGGGCATGGCTATGAAGTTATTTTAACCAAGGTTGTACCATGCAAAAATATGTGAAAAATAAACTCATGTAATTATAATCTTTAAAATATAAAGTGTGCTTTATCCCAAATATAGTAGTAAGTATAAATTAGATATAATACATATCCAACTACATATAAAACAAAAGTCAAAATTCAGTCTCTAAAATCCAGTCCATTCCAGATGCTTGAAAAATCTGACACAGGAAAACTTTCCAACGAATTGTCCTGCTGTGTACGAAAGTTCACTTCCTCCCGACTTCATTAGGGTGATGAAACTTGAAGCAAGTAAGGACCCACACCCAACAAGGTATTGATAAAAGCTGTTTCGAAACTCTCTTTCTCAAGAACTAACAATCCTTTTCTTCAAAGCTGATGATCCTTCTACAAATGAAATCAATGTTCACAGGTAATGAGCTACATTAATGACGAAAGGAAACTGCCTCCAGGTTTCAGCTCTTCAGCTTAGACGTACTCCCACAACAGTGGACAAAAAAGATCTTTACTGAACCGCTTTGCTGGA